ATTCGAAGTCCTAAGAAAGGACTTCAGACAGTTTTCCACTTAGAATAACCTAACTGTAATATAACAATACGTGAGAATTTTGGCAAACATACTGAAATGTCTGTGATTAAGAAGAAATAAATCATTGAACGATTCAATAACCTGAAGGACAAGATCCCGCTGTTGACCAACTCTATGTGTGTTTATCAATTCACCTGCTCATGTGGAGCTAGGTATATCCGCCGTTCGACACGAGTTTTGTCCAAGAGGGTGCACGAAAACTATCCTGCATGGTTACGAAAAGGTGAAAGTGAAGCAATAAGAAGCGCGATCATTGAACATCTGGTCGATAATGATCACCCTATCTCGATAGTCTCCGCCTTCAAAGCCATCTACAAGGCAAAGAGTAATTTACCCAAATCCCTACGTACCCGACTCATCTGTACTGCTGAAGCTTTGGCTATCGAAACAGAAAAGCCAGATCTCTGTGTACAGAGGAAGTTCGTTCAACCCCTCCAACTTTCATGCTCTTAATCCCTCTACTATGCTAAAGTATGGTAATCCCCAATCATATTTTGGCTCTACCAATTTTTCATTTTTTTCATTTTTGTCTATTCAGTTTGTATACTCTTCCTTATTAAGTCAATTGTTACTATTACTACTCTCACTTTTAATTGTCCCCGGTATTATTTCACTTGTTCCACTTGTCATTCTAAATCAATTCCTTTATGCAACATTAAATTCTATGCTATTAAATTTCACACAATATTACGTAACGTTTTTATTGTATTCGATTTGTCTACTTATCCTATAATTGCACACACCCTTTTTCAAGTTCTATCCATCCTATGAATTATTCTATATATAACATTAATTTGCTTTGCCGTTTGACATTTAACTATGATTATAATCACAAACATTTTAGTTTCAATTGCATTTCATATTATTATTATTTTATGCATTCACACCTATGTTTCAATTCGCTCACCGGATATAACTTCTTAAAAACCATATATATACGATTGTACAGCTTGATGATAAATTCGTTGAAAAGAGTCTCTTCGCTGAATCATTTGCTTTGATTTTCTATAAGAATCTAAATGACACATGAAATCAGGTAGATATCCTGAATTTCTTGGAAATAATAAAAAAACAATCAAGTTGAAGCATTTTGAATTTAGCAGAGGCCATGATTATCACACGGTTAAAATCTGACTTGTGTTTTATTAAAATGTGGCTTTATGAAGTCTTTGTCTGACTTGGTTGCTCAGCTTTCGACGTTCAAATGATTACATCACTTTTTATTAAAAGTTGATGTTGGTTTCTATTCACTCTTAATTGGTGACATCATATCATCTACTAAACGTCACACTTGATAAGTCTGAGTATACTGTGAGTATAACTCACAATATATATATTTTTTATTTTGATTTACAGCTTGATTCCACACCGTATTTTCAGTACAAGCGTGGAATTTTCAGCATGAATATCGGTAGCCCAAATTTACAGGCCGACCATAGATATCGGGTGTGCGCCGGCAGGGGATCGAACCCCGGACCATGTGCATGGTCGGCGAGAGTCCTAACCACTGTGCCACCGACGCATACCTACTTCATATCTCATTTGTTTATCTTCAAGTTACCTAATGAATTATATGATCTTATAATTTATGTAGCTCAATGTCTTGTTACTACAATTTCTAACCAACGTTTTTGTATTTTCTCTGGTAAACCTCAACCACAATCAAGGTACACAAACAGAATAATGGAATTAGTTGTATTCCATGAGTTAGTTGATTTATCTATGACGTTTTCATCGTCCCTTGTCTAGACAACATCTTCAGAGCAGGTTTCAGTATGGAATGAGCTCATCTGAATTCTCCATGAATGATGATATAATTGAATCTCCTGGCAACCATTCTCGTGACTGTTTGTTGATTTACATCCATATTGATCACTTTTACCGACTTGAAATTCCAACTTTCTCATCAAGTGATTTCCTTGACATTAGTTAGAAACTTTGGTCTGTAGTAATTAATGTGTTTGTTAATTGCTGATTCACTCGAGTACCAGGCAGGCTTCTAGAAATTGCCTGGCATTACTTCAGGTATTTCCTCTTTTTAAAATTTCTACATTATCCTAATCGAATTGGTGTCCACTATTATCTACATGCATTGATATGAGGGAATATACATCATGCCATTTCACAGTCAATTTGTGTAACAATATAAACCGTGTGCAGACATTGTTTAAAAGAATTCAAACACATACTGTAGCACTCCTGTGTTGAAGAAAATGGAGGAGAAACATCTGATAACCGTCTTCACAAAGAATTGATATCCTCACAATTTCATCAAAAAGTGTTATAATTCGAGTCATAACACAAACAAGAAACCATCATCAAAGGCTACAAGAAAATTCATCCTACCATACATAAAGCATATCTCTGAAAAAAACAGCTAGAATATTAAAGCCATTTGAAATGGATATTGCACACAAGCCAGCCATCCACCACAATTAATTCATTCGATATTGTTCCAAATGAAAGATTCAACAGAAAAAGAAGATGAGATTAACACTATTTAGAAAATAAATTGTATGAACTGCAATAAACATTATATCAGTCAAAGTGGGCGTCCCCCTTGAATATGAATCCAAGAACACAAATTGGCTGTAAAAAGGAATGATATATATGTTTTTTTATATCAATACATGTAGATAATTGTGGACACCAATTCGATTGGGATAATGTAGAAATTTTAAAAAGAGGGAACACCTGAAGTAATGCCAGGGAATTTCTAGAAGCTTACTTGGTACTCGAGTGAATCAGCAATTAAGAAATAAATTACTATAGACCAAATTTACCAGCTAATGTAAAAAGGAAATCACTTGACGAGAAAGTTGGAATTTCAAGTCAGTAAAAGTGATCGATAGAAATGTAAATCAACAAACAGTCACGAGAATGGTTGCCAGGAGATTCATCTGAATTCATTTTATACTGAAACCAGCTCAGAGAACACAACTTATTCAATACCATCCACCTGAAATGCAAATATTATGTATTACTTTTAAAATACATTAGGCGTTTGATATTTTACTCTCTTAACATTTCGTTTCATCTATCTACCATGATCCTTCCTAATTATTATTCAACAGCTGTTTATCTAATAAACCTTAAGGGTTATGTTGTAATTGTTATAAGACCACTGACTTTAATTATTCAACTTGTAAGCAGTTAACGAGAGATACCGACTGACAAAATCAAGTGAATCCCTTACTATACATTTCTCCGTGTACTGTTGTAGTTGTTTTAATCAACTTCATTAAGGGGAATTTGTCTTGGAAATTTCTTTAAGTGTAAATGACACTGTTTTATTTTCAAAGATACACAACTTATCCAGATTATGCGTAACTATTGAATAATGTGAGAGCAGAACTTAGGCATTGTGACTGCGTACTATTTCAAATATTATTATTATATTATCAGTCCCTTGTATAATAATAATCTACTATATTCCAAAAACAGTACTTATAATACAGAATGGAATTCTCAGCATTTGTCACAATATTGCAACTGATTTACTCAAAATATGAATAAAGTTTAATATTTAAAACAAAATTAACCAGAGGAATTTGTCCACATTTACGATGTACGATTTGTACGATTTGAGAATGTTAAATATAATAATAATAATAAAAGTGAGTTTGTTTCAAACAGTATTATCGATACAGTTTGGAAGTAGTAACATGTTATAGAGTACTTACGTCTCCCCGACAAAACATTAAATTAACAGTTATAATACAGCTTAAATGACGTTCACACTTATGAAAAAATAAACAAATGGAAACAAAAAATTGAGAGGATTATAAATATAAGAAGTTCGTACGTCGGTAGCACAGTGGTTAGGACACTCGTTGACCATGCACATGGTCTGGGGTTTGATCCCCGGCCGACGTACACCCGATATCATTGGTCGGCCTGCAGAATTTGGGCTACCGATATCCACGCTGAAAATTCCGTACTTGTACTGAAAATGCGGTGTGGAATCAAGCTGTAATCAAAATAAAATAAAAATAAAAAAATAACAATAAAGGTTGATGTTGTAAGGGTGGAGGAAATGGCTTATTTAGTAGTGCTAAGAAGGTCAGTTAGTTCATGCCTGACATTATTTTCACCACAAAAAATTTGTGCCGAATATGGTATAATGGAATTTTTATACTTAGACGTACGTGCATAAATTCTTCTGAAAAGACTTCTTGTTTTACCTGAGGAGACACAAGGTTGGAGCTGCGGGTAGAGTGGGTGCTCAAAGTCTGACGAAATTCCTTTAGCGAATTTGTTGCATGACATCAAGTGCCTATCAGTGACAATGTCAACGATATGGCCCAATGGGATATCACTCGTCCTACTGACAGTCTTCAGAGTTCTACGAAGTATGACATGGTCTTTTATGAGTAATCCAGGAAAGAATAAGGGTAAACAGTAAAGGAGAGTAGGTAGGACGCAAGAGTTGACAAACTGAAAGAGGAGGAAGGGTCAAGTTATGCCTGTGTACCGTAACTTCCTAAAGTAAAAAGTCAGATGAAATATTCTTTTAGAAATCGCTAAGATATGAGAAGGCCAGGATAGGTCAGTAGAAAGAATTCCAAGTAGAACACAGAACTTCAATAGCTCGTCTCCATGACACCCGATCCTCAGATATCATTTACAACTGGCTATATGACTGCCTACATGCATTCATTTCCTCTTCGCATGATAAGCATACTACCAGTGTTCATATTTTTCTATGATACTTATAAAAGGGGAAAAATTTATTTGACAGAACCGTTACACGCTTAGTATTCTACCAATGTCAGAGGGCAATTTAGCACTTAGAACTAATAAAGCACTGAGAAAACAGTGGTATTTGATAAAGACACTCAAAGGTAGAATACTTACGACGTTTTATGGAATCTCACTATTACATTTCTAATTTCACTGAATACGTCAGCCACATTTTTGAATTTTTTTTATTTCCCCAGCTTGTGAAAACTCTTCATCCTCTGGATTACTGACCAATCACATTGTTTTTAATGATCAAACAGTAAACACAATCACAACACAACTATCATGGTTGGGAATGGAACAGTAAGTTCTTCATCAACATGTTGAATAATTATTTAATTTTTATTGATTGCGCTTCTTTTAAATCATCGCGTTATTGTATTTCACGACCTTGTGTACATTTTAACCAAGTGAAATAATGGAGAAGATTCGTAGCTCATCAGATGGATGATTATGGTGTGTCTGTATTCTCTAAGTTATTATTTTTTCTTCATAATAGCTCGATTCCACACGGTATTTTGGTACAGCTATGGAATTTTCAGCATTTGATATAGGTAGCCCAAATTTAGCAGGCCGGCCATTGATATCAGCTGTGCGTTGGCCGGGGATCAAACCTCGAACCATGTGCATGGTTGGCGAGTGTCCTAACCGCTATGCCACCAGCGCAAATTAATAGGGAAGTTTCATTATGCCTCGAGACAATATTTTCAGCGCTAAATTCTAAGTGAAGTGTACTTTTAAGATTTTTGCATGTAAGAAATGTTTGTCCTCCTTGAAGACCTCTGCTTGGAATGGTTTTCTAACAGAGATTTTCCTATCATTCTTTGTTTTAATTTCCTTGCTTTGCAGGTAGAATATTGGTCTTCAGGAGTTTTGAAGTTTTAGTGACAGTGGGTTTACTAGCCTTACGCCTAACCTTTCCTCTCCACCGGGTTAATCCCTAAAGCGAAGTTAAGAAGTGCGTTAGTCAGGAATCGAACCTAGGCCACGTGTGCGGTTTGTAAGCATTGTAACATTAGATCGGTTTCAATGATATACAATGTCTCATTGACCAGATATTCAACCTTCTGTTCATGTGATATATTTTATATTGGTTGATAAATTTGATCCATATCAACGTTTCTGTTAACTACAAATTGATTCGCTTACCAGGCTTCTAGTGTAACGACAGAAGACAAGGGCCAGGCAACAGATTGTTTATTTAGAAAATCAACTGATATTTATAGATTTTTATGTACATTATTATAAATTATTGTTAGCAGAGAAACACAGTCTTCTGATTGGTTGTTTTCGCCCTGAAAGTTATTCTGTCATGTCTTAGGGACCATTTATTTGAAGGTCATACCATATATATGCGAATTGTATCCGCCCACGCAAAGTTTTTGTTCTTTTTTTCTCAAGACCATTATTTGGGACGTAAACATTGACGAAAATTGCTGTCTACCAATTGTGGCTAGCAGACAGCTTTCACCACATTGGGAACTTTTGACAATTCTGTGTTTCTCATATGAATGTTATATTATCATGGTCGAATTCATGTGTATAGTTGTCTGTTAGACAATATCACTGTTACCAAGAAAGATAGACATTTTGGCACTAGTCTTGGGAATCGTCGAGAAATGACGACCTGATTAGCTGTTGGGTCACTTAGCTCAGCTAAAATAGTTTTGAACTAGTAATCCAGAGATCACATGTTCGAATGGTGGCTTTGCTCACATTTCCACTTCGCCTTGAAGTATCACCTACCACATAGACCACTGTCCTATATAGTTAAAGTTATTGAGTAACTGATTCCAATCCATAATTTCTTGTAGCCATAAACAAACATCGGAACGTTTACAATTGAAAGAATAAATTCAGGTATTGTTTTGTAGGAATTTGATTGATTGGTTACAGGATTTCATCATGAGCTGACATCCATTAGCTGACAATAGGAAAACTAGCTGGGAGTACTGGACAGCTGTTTCATCCTAGTTTGGAACTTTTCGGCAAACCGATATTTGAATATCAACGAGATGCTGACTAGCTACTGGCCCTATTCAGGCAGGTAGTTACCTAGGGTTCTAGTGAGAAGTTGTGACCAGTAGGGTGCAGCAGGTTGGCTGTGAGGACAAATACTATCCACCGATGACATTGGCTAGCGGTCGCGCTATGGCAAGAACTGTCGGAGGTCAGAATTCATGGGCTGACCATTGGATCGAGTCGCAGTGGCTGGTGAATGGTCTACGAGCTAGCTCGCCTTGTAACCAGAAGGTCTTGTGTTCTGGCCCTATCTGTGCGTGCGTACTGATGAAGAGTCCCAAACTAGGTTGACGAAAAGAGTGGCTGGCCAGTACTCTCAGCTTGTTTTCCAGTGGTTCCCTCACTGATGTCAGCTCATGATGAAATCCTGAAAAACAATAAATATTGGGAAACAAGGAACTACATGTATCAGATGTAACGTTTGAAAAATCTTATCTAGTGGAAAGTTTAATTTTTCTCATTCTCATAACTATATAAATATACCTTGTTCCTTAAGAATTATTGCTTTCAAAATATATGGAAGTTATGTGAGCACAAATTCTACCTAATATTTTTTTCTAATTGATTGAGAAAACAATGTCAACTGCATGTTAATAAATAACACATGGACAGGAACAGGTATACACACTGGTGTATGTGTATGCAATCTCACAGTCACTCTTAAACCATGTTAAACCCGTTTTACTCCCAATCAGATAATATTGGGCGTGGTTATCCACACAGAGTCAATTATTAGTTAACTCGCTAACTAACTACCTAACTAACAGTCAGCCAGTTAACCAACAAACACACAACTGAGTGACTTTGAAAAAAAGTAAATAATGGCAACAGTGTCTTAGTCACCTACCAGTTAACTTGAAAGTAAATAAATAAAAGATAAATCAATAGCTATACTACTCACTGAGTACTCATGACTGTTCTATAGACAGAAGTTGATTCCTTGTGTTAGTCATAGAATTAGGCGTACATGTACTGAGGATTGCATTGAAGTTGAAATCGAAAATCTCTAAAATATCTTGCTGCTACAAAATGGTTATTCTACCATTTTTGTACAGAAATATATTTCCAGAAGAACTGACAAAATTAAGCCTGACATGGTGAATATGAAAAAGCTTTATTCAAGAATACAGTTCAAAGGTGATATATACAGTGACATATTAAGCCGTAGGTTGATCCGATCAGTTGAAAGAACTTTCAGTGCTGCAGAACTACATATCTGTTCCTCGACCAGACCGTTACTGACACAGTGCACTAAAGATAAATTACCAGAGATAGCCACATCAGTTTTTGTATGCAAATACAACTGCTCATGTGAAGCTAGTTATATGGATCGAACTCAGAGGAATTTACGCACTTGTGAACATGTCCCAGTTTGGCTTGGATATAATGTAACTAAATTGGTAAATAGTGCCATTTTGTCTCATCTACCAAACAGTGAACACCATATCAAAATAGATGAGTCATTTAAGGCAATGCGTCAAGTACCAAACATTCTACCTAAATTATTGAATTGAATTTTCAATTTTCCCGTCGATTGATTGAACTGAAGTGCTCGGTCTCAGGTTGACATACTGGCTTCTTGTGCAGATGAGACCCAGCACTTCGGTCCAATCAATCGACGGGAAAATCTAAAATTCAATTAAATAATTAATATGACCCGTTGCACAAAAAGGTAGGCTCTCGTAGCCCAAGTGGTCTAGTGGATAACGCTTTGGTGTTTGAAATTATGGGCGCTGGGTTTGAGCCTTGGTGGGAGAATCATCACTCACTGGGGAATGGAGGCATATCCAGATGACGAGTCCCAAATAGGACGAAATACGCATCCTGGATTCCACTGCTAGTCACCATCCACCAAAAAGGAGAATGTTGAATGACATTCAGAAACCCCTCAACCAATTTCCTCGACTGGCATCCATTTCACATTGACATGGTGGACCTCATAGATAAACACTGCTGAAAAGTACAAAACAAAAGTACGAAACAGCTGTGTGTCGCTCTCTGGTTTTCTGTGATCCCTAATTTGTGATGTGATACGTCTTCATTAGCTTTTTTTCTCTTCTTTTCAAACTCCTAACTATTAAATATATATTTTATGGATCCCTTTCTCCTATGAACAATATTCTTCTTCCCAAGCGCTTATAGTTTAAATGATAATTATTTCTGAGTATTAATCATAAAGTCTTGTTTTCAGATTGCCATCTGCCGGAAAATAACCGTAATATTTTACTTGATGTCATTTCATTACCACATTTGACTTATCTCCAGATAGAATTTTCAAGGTTGAGATTGTTAATAACATTGATTAAAGTAAACTTTAAAAAATTGCAACGATATGTATATGAGATTTTGTTATTTATGACAAGACAAAATGACCGCATAGCAGTTTCTCTCCATTAGAAAAGCCTTTCGCTCAAATAATACCATAGTATTCTTTTTGTTCAGCGAGGAAATGTATTTCTTCTCAACGACTTCATTTCCAACCAGCTGTGCAGCAGTCGTATTTCTATTACGGAAAGAGAAGGCATTGGGTGGTACTAGAAATTGCTCAATGGTCAATATTGCAAATATGATAAGAATAAAGGTAATTAAAATGATGTACTAAGGGGGTAGAGTTGAAGTGGATGAATTACAAAACTTTTAAAGATTATTTAATAAGTGAATTGTTGTTAAGATTTTAAAATTGTAAGTCAGGTGTTGTCTGAAAAATTAAGAATAAGATGATGATAACAATAAAGATGGTAACGGTGACGGTGAAGTGAAGTGGAATGAATTCAAGTGGTAAAATAGAATAAAATAAAAGAACATTACTATGACCACGTTCTTGAATACATAATTTAGGTGCTTGTCCATTTATAGTTAGAGCTTTGGTTAGGCATATGTGGAGAAAACGTAGGCTTTCCGAGTGATCGGATTTGGTCCTATAGATAACTTTAAACGATAAATCACGCTGAGTTGAATGACCTGAATCCAGAAGGTGTTCATGAATTGACCACTTCGTCGACCTATGCTCATTTTTCACTAACCAAACCAGGAAGTGTTCAGCTACGCTTTCACGGAGATTACGCATACAACGTCCAATGTAATCAGCTCTACACGAGCATGTGAATGAGTAAATGCACATAGACTTCAAATAATAATAGCACTGACAATTTATGATAAGAGTACAGGTAATACCTTACAGGGAGTAGCACCTCCTAGTCCAGTCTGCGAATCCGTAAACTCTGTTTAAGCATCAGATTTTAGGAAACGAAGATGAATAGATATTTGTCCATTAATCTCCA